CTCCCTTCTCTCCTCCCCTTTCCCCTCTTCCCTTCTCTCCCCTGCCTTCCCCTCCTCTGTCCCGGCCCTTCTCCTGCTCTTCCCCATCAGAACACCTACCCTGGAGTCAGGTCCCAGGAGGAACAGAGGACGCACCCCGCCTTCCGCAGAGCGGGTGCTTCGCGCACCCACGAGCCCCCAGCCCTCACTCACACGCAGACCGTCTGTGTGTGTAGACAGCTAGGAACTCGCACAGCCCCAGGCAGGTGTGCAGGCCTCCCGCTGAGTGTGCAGGAGTGAGGAGGTCACACACAGCCCCTTTCGTGCTGAAGGCCCAGGCGGGTTCCGGCTGATAGCGAAGTGTTTGGAGCCTGGTCCTGGGCGCCCCACAGCAGCTCTGACACAGGCGGGAGGAGGAGGTGCGGAGGGCACCCCAGGGTCTCCCTGCAGCCCCACTGGATCCACGTCACTCCCCAGTGTTTCTCTGAGGCACATCCTGAGGGGACCGCAGTCCCCACCGTAGGTCCTGGACCCTCAGCCCACTCCTCTGCCGGCCTGACTTAGAACCTTCCCAGCACCAGCAGGCTTTTTCTCTTTTAGTCGAAACCAGTGTCAGTGACAGGGTCACAAGGCAGCCGTGGGGAGGAAGAAAGCGCGATTGATGGGGAGGCAGCTGGAGGAGCCTATTAGGATCGAAGTTGCCTTAGGGTGTGCGCTCCGCCCTGTGTGATGTCACCAGACGCGGTGGCAGGCGGCAGCCTCCGTCTGCACGCACCTGTCATTAAGGAGGAAGGCACGACATCGCGGTGATTAGTCTGGGGGTGGCGTGGCAGAGATGTCGCAGTCACAGAGAGGGTCGGAGGGCTCCCCAGAGAAGGGGCGGGGGAGTCTCCTCCGTGGGAGAGAAATCACATGGCAGCGGGGCTGCTGAGCACCACTGTCCACGGGTGTGGGGTCCTTGTCACAGGGGTATCACAGCGTTGGCGCCCGGCCTCACGTCCCTCCCCACAGAGCATTACAGTGACGGGGCGAGGCCTGTCCTGTGGGTAAGACAGCCTGACAGGGAAGGCAGGCAGAGGCAGAAGGGGCCTGTGGGGCTGAGCCCTGCGGCTGCCCAGAGCACCCTCTGCTGGGTGCCTCGAGGGTGCCCGCGACGGCAGGGGGCTCCCTGGTGAGGGATCCCCTGGCAGCTCCCTGCCGCTCCACACCCCTCTGAAAGTGGCCCCTTCTGTGCTGGAGATGAGCTCTTCCTCGTTGGTTTCAAGGAGCTTCTTTGTCGACACTGCACCCCTCACTCCGAGATGTACAGCAAGGATGGTGGCTCCTTTCTGCTGATTTTATTTTTCCAGCACCGCAGAGGGAACCCGGGTCCTTCTCTCTGAGCTACACCCCCAGCCCTTGTTTTGACATTCAAGGTCTCACTAAGTCGCCACATTGCCCAGTGGGCTCAGATCTGCCGCCCTCCCTCCTCCGCCTCCCTGAGT